CAACTAACTAATAAGGTCCTAGAGTTTAAAGGCAGAGGGGTGTCTACTTACTTTGTTACCAGGAAGCTATTTCCCTCAATGTTAATACAACTGAAATACTTATGTCTTTCCTTCCCTTTGCATTGAACGAAAGAGGCCTTGATGTCACGTCTGTAACAAAGCTTCCTGACAGGTGAATAGTAGGTGGTGATAACCTGTGCATATGTATCTAAGTATATTAATACTGGAGCCATTTTCTCATTTGTAAGATTATTATTAAATGGGAAAATGATCAGAAACAAAGTAAGTGAGGAAGAACAAGTCGGCAGACATACCTAGACTGAAGAACAAAGAGGAAAAGAGACAGTACAGATAAGGGCTAGGCAAAATGAACATGGAGGTGTGAGGATGGAGGAAGGAGCTGTCTCTAACAGGACTGGGGCACATACTTGTCTTGAAGGAAGTTGGCAAAACTGAGTGATAAAGATCCTGTACCTGCTGTGGGTGAAACACTGGATAGCATACGATGCAATATAAGTGTTGGTAATTTGGCTCCTTAGAATAAGTCGCAAAATAGTTGTGAGTACTGGTTTTGGGTTTCCTCAAGTGTAATGCCTTAGAGAGGTCCTCCCAGCTCGCCCCATGTGAAATAGCACTCCTTCCTTCCTCCTTCACTTTATTGGCTTTCCTTTTCTTTCCAGTGTGTCCTGCCCACATGAGTGTAACAGTTCCTATGAGGATGGAACTTTAGCCCACCTAGAAGATGCCTAGCACGTAATGAGCACCTAAGAAATTACACCATGGGGAAAAACAATTAGAAGAGGGGAAGAATTTGAGGTAACTGGTTTAAGCCATGACTCATTTATTTGAGGATATGACTGCAGTAATCGTCTTTTCTCCTTCAACAGGGCCTCTACTCAGCCATTCTCCAAAGTTCTCAAACACGTCCTCATCTTTTCTAAATACCCCAAGTCTGTCCTACTTGATCAGGCTAAAAACACTGGCACCATTTTTATTTTTTTGGCCCTACTCACATATGCAAGTTTAGTGGCTCTTCCTTCAAAAATCTATCTAAATTCAAACACTTCTCAGGCCCTCTGTTGCTCCCGACTTAATAAAACCACCAAGATCTTTTACCTGGACTTGTGCACCCTGCCTCCATTCCCCTCCCTAACTCTCTTGATCCCTAGCTTCATTCAGTATAATACCTTGTTATAGTATACTTTAAAGTATACATCACTGAGTGAATTAACAATGTACTTCGAATTCTAAAACTGTAAGCCTATTTTGTTTTCTATTTTTCAAGAGAAATTGAAAGGTTTTCTTGTTCAAATATTCTCTGATGTCATGGAGAAAAAGGTCAAGAATAAACGGAAAACATCATACTTCATTCCTTAAATCATTTTACTAAAGCCTTTTTCTTACCCAACAGACGAGGGCCAAAAGCAAGGAAGCAGGTCTCCATAATGCCAGGTCCTTGGGTAAAGCAAGACTTGCTGAATGAACACAGAGCATCTTCCGGGAATCCCTGTACTCCTCTAGTTCTGGGTTTTGTCTGTTTCTGTTTGGTTCTGCTTTGGTCACTAGCACAGTGAAGGAGATTTTGCATCACTGTTCCAGGAAGACTTCTCAAGTGATGGTAATTAAAAGAATATATATGTTTTGCTTTGTTGGAATTATCAACACGGTGGCTCTGAACTACATTCTCTGAAAACATGGTACCTAGGCCCTAGGTACCAGCTCAACCAATGAAAAGAGCCAGGAGGGGGCATACTCAAGCCATCAAGCAATCAGTGCACAGCTCTGATGTGGACTTTACCGGGCGCCTCTTTGAGACCCCTCTCCAAATGTAGACTCTCACTACTTTCCTTTCATGACTCTTTCACTTTCAAATAATCTTCCTGCTCATTTGTGTTTTTTATACTGTAGACCTTGTTCTAAACTCCAAATAGATACCCCCCTCCCCCCCCCCCCGCACCATGGCAAATTGTATTAGATCTGGGGTTGGTGGAAGATGAAACCAGATGAAGTAAAAGGAAAATGTAGAACAGTCATTGAATAAGAATAGTACGCACTCAACTTCAAAGACACTTTACTCATAGCTAAGTTTATAAAGACTCCTCTGTCCAAGTCCTCCCTATCTCTGTAAATAGCAGCTGCAGCTTCCCTGTGGCTCATGACACAACCTTCAGTCAACCTTGTAGGCTCTTTCTGAGGTCCTAGGCATTGCCCCTTCCTCTGTCTGGAACACATTTCCCCAGATAATCAATGTCACCCTTCCCATTTTCAGGTTCTTCTCAAATACTCTCCTGAACATTATGCCCACCAGTCTTTGTTTTCCAAGTGATTCTCACTCACCCGCATACTAAGAGCTCTGAATACAGTCCATACTCGGTGCATTTTAATTGTTTACTGCTTTGCTCATGGGTTCTCCCCAACAAGAACATCAGCTCCACGTCAGGGATTTTGTCTGTTTTTTTTTTTTTTTTCCATTGATGGATCTCCCAATTAGTAGAGCAAAAGTGGACCCGTGGATGGAACACTAATATTTGCATAATGACTAAGTAAAACTCTTTTACCTCAGGAAAGACTACTATCTAATTCCTAAATTATTCATTTACTTCTTACAAGCTCCACAAGAACAAAGCCATCTTTCCTGATACACAATGGTGGAAACATTTAGAACTAATTAACTTTAGCTTAGCACCTGCTTTAGAATTAGCATGCATCCTAGATACAACCCATGTCTTCAGTAACAGAAAACTAGAAATGACTGGATAACTTAGGGAATTACAGGCAACAGGTGGCATCACAGTTTGACATGGAAGGAGTTCCTGGCATTAACTGGCTCAGATCTTGGCTAATCTTACTGGAAACATGATTTCCCAAGTACCAACTTAACATGTTTCCAAACAGTAGCCCAAGTTCTTTTCTGAACTCTTAAAACATTTAAGCATTCAAAGAACCTCAACTGCTTATACATTCCCAAACTCTCTGCCTTGAAATACTGACTTTATCAACACCACCATAATTTCCCCAAACAAGAATGTTGACTCAAAGCTTTAAAACGTGAAAGCCTTAAGTGAATAATTATATATATATACACACACATATATATATTAATATTGACCAAAAATGAGTAACAGGGATCAGTGATATCCAAGGTAAGAAAACTATCAAACCTTGATGGACGATTTTCTACAAGTTATCAGAACTCTCATTAATCCCTTACACTTCTCTCAACAGTGGAGTACATAAGGAATCTGTACAAAGGTCGCAACTGATTTTTTTCCACAGCTTTGCAGGAAAAAAAAAAAAAAAAAGCTTTTAATGCTCATCCTCCGGGAAGCTAGTAAGAGGACGCCTGACTTAAAATTTCTCCATTAGCAGGACGAAGAGTGAACAGATGCAGCAGGGGCACTCACGAGACACTCTGTGGAAAACAAACGACACAACGTGGGGGTGGGGACAGAAGGGCAAGAGAGTGCGGGAAGGGGTAACACAGTCCCACAAGACGTGAACTCTTCACCTAGTTCATGTACCTGGAACCCCTGTGCGCATCCCCTTTGTCACAACTACATAAATCCTCCATCAGCATGGCATGTTTATCTGACTCGTTTGCCAGCGCAAAAACAGAGTTAAAAATCAGTCTATTCTCAGGGTTCCTACATCAGTCCGGCCTTGGGCAACTTTGTGCAATTGCAATAATAATAACAACAATAATGATAATAATAATGACGATGATAATAATAATAATGATGATGATGATGATAATGATGACGATGATGATAATTAAGAATGAAATAAAGCAGCTGACAAGCAGCGCAGCCCGGAGGACCCGCCCCCCTCGGAGCGCCGGGGTCCGTTGTGGGCCGGCCCCACGCAGAGGGCGGCGTCAAGGTCGGCCCCGCCCCTGCGCGACCCCGCGCGAGCACGTCCTCACCGTCGCTGCACTTGTACTGGCAGAGCCCGTCCTCGCCCCCCAGCAGGTCGAGGGCGGCGTTCAGGTAGGTGTCGATCCGGTGGATGCCGTTGCGGATGGTCTTCAGCGTGGCCCGCCAGTCCGGGCTCTGCTCGGGCTCCGGCTCCTGACCCCCGACGGCCGCCGTCAGGACCAGCAGGAGGACCACGAGTGCGGGCCGCGGAGACCGGGCCATCCGCGCGGCCGGGCCCGCCGCTCACCGCTCGCCCTCGCCGAGCCCTACGCAGCGGCGTGGGCCCCGGGCGCAACCGCAGCGGGCTCCATGCCCGCGCCTTCTGGGCGGGCGAGCTGGCGGCCCCACGCTGCCTTCACTGACTGGAGGGGACGTGTGCGACGCCACCAGCGTGCTCACCGGAGCCGAGGACGGCGCGTGCGCAGCTGGGGAGGCCCGGGGCGGAGCGAGCGGAGAGGGGCGTGGCGAGCGGAGGGGCGGGGCGAGCTGAGAGGGCGTGGCGAGCGGAGGGGCGGGGCGAGCTGAGAGGGGCGGGGCGGAACGCCAGCGCGCCGCGGCCGCGTCGCCCACGTGACCACACCGCTGGAGCCACGCCTTGAACATAAGCGAGCCCCGCCTGGGAGCTGGTGTCTCATGTCTGTAATCCTAACTACTCTGGAGACTGAGATCTGGAGATCACGGTTCAAAGCCAGCCCGGGCAGGACCGTATTTAAAATCTCCAATTAACTACCCAGAAAGCTGGAAATAGAGCTGTGGCACCAATGGTAGATAGCTAGTTTAGAGCAAAGAGAAGGTCAGGAACAGGTGCCCAGGCCCTTCAGTTCAAACCCCAGGAACTGTACGAGAGCCATAAATACCTATTTTAGTACTTTTGTTTTTTAAACTAGGCATGTGTGTATTTGTACATATATATTCTGTCACCCCGACCACAATGTGTGAAGAAGGGTTAGGCAATCTAGCTTTTTGACAGAACCCCTAGGCTGAGGGTATTGAGCATGTAGGAGCCCCTGGGTTCAGTCTCCAGCACCGAACAAAACCTCAACCAAACAGTGATAACAACAACAAAATCTGACATGTTTAGCCAAAGTATTTTATTCGGGAATTACACAGCGAAATGTCAATAGGCTGTAAGCTCTGCCTCATTTTCTGTATTAATTATGCAGCTTTATTCCCATCCAAATGGAACTGCGCGAAGGAGGGTAGAAAGACGGAGGTCACCGTTTCAGACATTGTACTGAGAAATCAGAGATCTTCCTACATGATAGCTAATCCAGTCGAAATAATTGGCCACCTTGGTATAAACTCCTGGGAACTCTGGCTTCCCACAGTTTTCACCCCAGCTCACAATGCCCCAAACGTAAGTCACGTTGTTGGCATCCATGCAGACTAAGGGGCCTCCGGAGTCTCCTTTGCAGGCATCGATGGATCCATCCTCTGTACCTGAGAGAGAGAAATTGCCTGTTTCCCCGCTATTGTTCTAAGCAGCCGTACCACCTTCCTTCCTGCCTCCTCCACCCAGAATATAGCAACTCTGGCTTTCTTGCACTCACCTGTCAGGATGTGACAGGGGCTCTCCCTCTCTGTGGGCCTCTCCTGGGCTGGCAGATTGGAAAGTGTTCTAGTTGTTTTCCTAAATTATTAGTTGTTTTCTGCCTGGGTTCTCTATGCAATTATATACCAATGTGAGATTACATCACCGCATCACACACCAAGTGGGAAAGCAATAGAATACCTGGGATTTACGGAGTATTAGGCAATGTTTTCATCATCACCACAGCCTGATGAGTAAGACTCATGCTTTTCTTCATTTTACAAATGAGACAATAAACAGAGAGGTTTGCTAACTTGTCCAACTTAACCCAGCTTACACGTGGCTGGCAAGACTGCAGGCAACCAGACCTCAGAGTTTGTCTTCTTCACAAAAGCAATTCTTTGCCCAGTAAAATCCTGAGCTCTATTTCAATATGGGAGGCCAATTTCTTCTCAGGACCTTTGACCTTCTTTTTTCTTTTCTTTTATCTTTTTTTCATTTGTGGGGCTTGAACTCAAGGTCTGGGCACTATCCCCAAGTCACTCTGTGTTCAAGGCTAGCATTCTACCACTGGAGCCACAGCGCCACTTCAGGCTTTTTCTGTTTATGTGGTGCTGAGGAACCAAATCCAGGGCTTCATGCGTGCTAGGCAAGCAGTCTACCACTGAGCCACATTCCCAGCCACATTTTTTTTCTTTGATGGTACTGAGTTAACTAGGTGGGTGCTCTACCTCCAGTAACTTTAAAGCATGGTTGGATATAGTTTGAGTTCATGTGGTGAGCATGTGTGGCTCATGCCTGTAATCCTAGCAACTCAGGAGGCTGAGATCTGAGGATCAAGGTTCAAAGCCAGCCAGGGCAGATAAATCATTGAGACTCTTTTCTCTAATTTCTCTAGCAAAAAGCTGTTTGTTCAGCATACACACACACATGATGGTTTTCAGTGTGGTGATAATAAAAAGTCCTTAGATCAGGGAGGTGTAATCTCAGAGGGATTAAGATAGTTCTTGTGAGACTTCCAAATTAGTTCTCAACAATAGAGTAAGCCCAGGCCATATTGCTTTTTTGTTTCCTTTAAAAAAAAAAAAAGTTTTGGCACTACAGTGCCTTCAGATTGCTAGGTAAGTGCTCTACCACTGGAATCCACATCCCAGCTTTCATTATTTTCCACATAGATTCTTGAGCTTTTTGCCAAGGCCTCAGACCTCCATCTTCCTACTACACCTCTTATATAGCTGTGAACACAAATGTAAACCACCGCATCGGGGGCTTGTTTAGTGAGATGAGGTTTTGGTAATTTTTTGCCCAGAACCTCAAACCTCAGTGCTTACAATGCATATCTCCTGTCTGCTTCCTGTCTTTCAGTTGACCTCACTTCTGATCTGGAACTTTTGTGGTACATTGCCATGAAAGGCTCATGACAGCTGATACCAACACCATGCTCTTAAGCCTCTGTAACTAAATGAGCTTCGTTTCTTTTTTGCCAGTACTGGGGCTTGAATTTAGGGGCTCACATATACTTGCTTTGCACCAACAGTTTTGGTGCTTTGGTCCTTCACCACTTGAACCATGTTTCTACACTCTCTTTTCTTTACAAATGTTCAGCTTAAGTTATTTTATTAAAGTCATGACAACTTATTAATACAATATATGTCTCAGATAAACCACTCGGCACTTACCTGCACATTGCATTTCTTCTTCATAGTAGCGATTTGAGTAAAACTTAGAGCAGTTGCCTATTAGTTTAACTTCACCCCATTTAAGTGAAAAGACTTTTTGGTTGTCTAAATAAAACGAGGAAACAGACATTTAGAAATCACAAATGAAAAATCTGAATAAATGGTCTCATAACTTAGTAAAACATTGGGGTAGCAAATTATCTATCTATAATATAAAGAATAACATAAAGAACATATATAAAATCAAGCATAGTGGCTCATGCCTGTGATCCTAGCTACCCAGGAGATTTGAGATTTGATGATTGAAGCCAGCCCAGGCAGGAAAGTCTGTGAGACTCTTATCTCCAATTAACCAGCAAAAAAAATGAAAAAGGAAGTTGTGGTTCAAGTTTAAAGTGCCAGCCTTGAGCAAAAATGCTAAGAAAGAGCATCCTGGTCCCAAGTTCAAGCCTGAATATTGGCACACACACAAATATAGAACATGTTTGTATACATGAAAATACATATATGTCTGTGTGTGTGTATATATATATATATATATGTATGACATATATTATTTAAGACACTTATTAACTTTTTTTTTTTGCGAGTCCTAGGGCCTAAACTCAGGGCTTGGACACTGTCCCTGAGCTGCTTCTGCTCAAGGTTGGCACTCTACCACTTGAGCCACAGTGCTACTTCTGGCTTTTTCTGTGTATGTGGTAATGAGGAATCGAACCCAGGGCTTCATGAATGCTAGGCAAGCACTCTACCACCAAGCCACATCACAGCCCCACATATCAACTTTTGAGAACAATGTCTTAGCACATTTAGTCACATGCTCTTCAAATGCTTAGTGCTATAATTGTCTTTGCAGGTGAAGTCAAGGGAGAGACTACAGGTGAAGTCATTACTGCTTAATTAAGGCCTGGCATGCTGAGATCACTAGGGTACAATCCTTTCCCTCAGGTCACTGAGTTCAGCAGGGGAATTGGCTAGATATTGGTAATGATCTCTTCTCACAAAGTAAATCTTCTTACAGCTCCTGAATACCTCATGCAAGCTTGTTAAATTGAAAACTTTTTTTTACAGTGAAAAAATGCAGAAGGAAGTTATCAGTGTGTGATTTTGTGTGTCTGAAGGAAATCCATTTCTTTGGCAATCTGAAGCACTTGAAAGAGGACTTAGAATTTGCTTTATATTTAAGTGACCATTCAGGTTCTTGAAATATTTGGTCCATGGAAGGAAAGGGACCAGGTACTATTGACTTTCAGACCAAGACAAATGAGGAAAACGCAAGAACACAGGATGCCTCATGGGTGTGGGATCAGTCTTTGTCCCATCTCCCTCTATTTTTTCCCCCAGTTCACAGCAATCTTTTTATGGTGTATTTTATCACTGGATGTTATCTTCTTCAATACCCACAGTTCCAAGAAGCTAACTTTATGGGGTACATTATTCATAATTCAATATATGTATACAGTGGGTAATAAATTAGCACAAGCATACCTTTCTCTTTAAACATGAATGTTATTTACATGCTGGGAATTTTGTATTCTCCACAAAATTGCTCATTTGAAAATAGTCACAGTTGAAAAGTAGATTGCTTTGGCTGCCGCAGTGCTAAACGACAGATGTGATTCCTCCACTTTAGCCATTTGGAGCCCCTCCCTTAGCTGCTTTCCACCCTGCGCTCCTCACTTCCCTTCCCAGTCTTAGGGACCACTATTCTGTTCCTATTCTGCAAACCTTTTACCGTCTGTCTATATCACTCCAACCAATCCATAAAATCCATACTTTCTGGACATCCTGTCTATTCTTTCTTCTTGGTTCATGTTGACCTCTCAATATCAACTTCACAATCAGGGTTTAAGTGTCCTTTGAATGTCTGCATAAGGACTGGCTATGTGATGTATAAGACCCAGTGCAAAATGGACATGTGGGATGGGAACCCTTGAAAACTCATGAAGAACTTCATGGTAGTGACAGGACAGCAGAGCCAGTAAGCCAGTTTCGGGATTCTCCTGCTCTTGACATCCTTGCTGAGCAAATGCACAGATCACAAGCCCAGTCCGCCTGTGTGTTCACTCTTCTACTTTATGATAGTGTCTCTCTAATTCTAAGAGGTTTACTCCCATGCTTTTCTATTCCTCCTAGTCCCTTTCACTTCCCACCCCTTGATGTTGGGTAACAAATAACAAAACAAATACCTTTTTCTCGCCCCCAGCCAGAAACGATGCATCTGTTGTTAGGTTGGAATAGATATGGAGACCAGGGGACACAGGCAGGGATAGAATTAGAGATATGACATTCTTTCTGGTTAGCTTTTTTTTTCATTTCAATCAAAGCTATGTCATTTTGGTAGGTGGATCCATTATAGTTTTCATGGACAATAATTTTTTGCACCTTCTCAATTGCTGACGCTGTATTATATTTTACCCGGTTTACTAATCCGGTCCATATTCCATAATGGTGTGCTTTACTGGGTCTATAAGAGAAATGAAAAGGGAAATACTATATATTGAGAAAAACATACGAGTTTTGAGTTGTAATATTTCATCTTTATATTCTCTTTTTAATTTTCATTTTCCTAGATTAAAAAAATCCTGCTGTCATGAAGAAATTAGATTAAATTTACTCAGGAGAGAACTAGATCACTGGGAAATGAAGAGATGGCCAATCTAACTCACTCTTCCTACCATCTCGTAGTCTAGTGCAGCTCCACAATGAAGCAGCTCAAAAAATGGATTTTCTATAAGCAGTAAAACACATGTTAGGGAGAACAGGCCCTCCCCTCTTCAGCTTCCAAGTCTAACAACCTAATGGATTTTTTTGTTAGTACCAGGGTTTGAATTCAGTGCCTTGCACTTGCTTTGAGCTGTTGTACTACCACTTGAGCCATATCTCCAATTCTAGCTTTTTGCTAATTATTTTTGAAGGTGGAATCTCATGGACTTTTTTTTCCCAGGCTGCATTCAAACTATGATCCTTTGGATCTTAGCCTTCTGAGTAGCTAGGATTACAGGTGTGAGCCACTGGCACCCACATATGTTATCTATATACCTTCCAGTGTCTCAAATAGCAAACACTGAACAGAATTCATCCTTCTATATTAATGATTCTGATGTTCACATTACATTTAAACAGAGAATTCTTAGAAGTTCATGAGATGTTTGGATGCTTTTATTTACACTGAAGTGTCCTAAGAAAGCTGTCTTCCATATTAATTTTGGCTACATTTCAGTATCCAAGATCTTGAATGTTGTCTGATGGTTAAATGTGTTCATTCTTTCAATTTACTCAACTAATACTTTGGGTGTATCTATTACATGTACCAGGAAAGCACTGGTGCTAATCGGTGGTAAAATACAAAAATCACCCCTGCTTTCATGGAATTCAGCAAATGATACAACACTAAATAGATAATGACACTGAAAAAGATAGATGTTCTACTATAAAACAGGTGAAGCACAGACACTACATAATTGTTTCAATCAACAAGTGAGCTTTGACTTGACGCTTCATACAGGGCCTAATAGGCTGTGTTAGAGTTTTCATTTACGTTTAGACTGCAAACCACTGAGTGTTAAGTAGTAAAACTAAGTATAGCAATGGTACTCTTACTGCACAGGAAAGAACAGATAGGTGGGGGCAGTGGGTAGACAGAGTGAATGTAGGTTAAGTAATATGAGGCCATTCATTTAATCCCAATGACAGGTGAGAGAGCGGGTAATAACAATGGAGGAGAAGAGAAGTTTTGAGAATTAAATGTTTAGAAATTAAAGTAGCTCAGGAGGTAAAGATAGGAGGATTGTTTTGAGGTCAGCCTAGGCTGACTGTCTCAAAAACAAGCTGGGAAGCTGGGTGCTCATAGATGATGCCTAATTTAGCTACTCAGGCAGTTGAGATCTGGAGGATCACAGTTTGAAAACAGCCTGAGCAGAAAAATCTATAAGACTCCATCTCCAAGTAACCAGCAAGAAGATAGACTGGGGGCTCAAGTGGAAGAGGACCAGCCTACCAAGCAAGCCGAATAAGTGCAAGGCCTTAAAGTCAAGCCATGGTACTGGAACCCCCTGCTTCTCTCCCCCAAAAACCCCATAGCCAGCTGGGTATGATGGTTCGTAGTGATTGTGTCTGCATCCCAAATATCAGGAGGCAGAGGTAGGAGAATCATGGTCCATGGTTTGCAGCCAGGGCAGGTAGTAGCAAAAGATGAGACCCTATCTGAAAAAATGGACTAAAAGACAATTTGAGGCGTGGCTCAAGGGCTAGAATATTTAGGTAGTCTCAATCCACTTATCTACAAAATGGGAAGAATGCCGGGCACTGGTGGCTCACGCCTGTAATCCTAGCTACTCAGGAGGCTGAGATCTGAGGATCACGGTTCAAAGCCAGCCCGGGCAGGAGAGACC